TAATCTAAAGTAGCTGAGATATCAGAATCTAAAAGTTTGTTAAATTTAGAAAAGTATCAAAGAATTTAATCTCAAAGAAGAAGTAAAGAGGCAAAACCAGTAAAACCAGTTATTGAAGATAAGCCAAAATTAGAAGAAGCAAGAGTAGAAATAAAGACCTTAATGAAAACTATTTATGATAAATATAAATTAAGGATAGATAAAGTTTTTTCAAGTAATATAAATAAAAAAATATTTTAAAAGTTGATACCTGAATTAATAAAATCTATAGCTATATATTTTAATATCTTATAAAAGTAAATAAATGAATAGTTAAGTGTTTTATATTATTATTAGAAAGAAAGATATCAAAAGACAAAAACTGGAAAACTGGAAGCAGACAATTGTCACTTATATATAAATAGTTAATTAATCAAATTAAGACTAATAATATTTTACATTTATGTTATTTTCAAGTATTAATTTTCCACAAATAATTAATAAAACAATATAAAAAATTAAAAGTATATAGTTACTTATTAAATAAAGATCTATGAAAGTTATCAAATATTGAAAGGAATTGATAGATATAATTAAAAAAATAAAAGTTTATTTATCTGAAAATATAATATTAATTAGGAAAATTTTCATTAAAAAAGAATAAATGTATAAAATAACAGTTGACATTTTGAAGAGATATTTTTCAGTAAAATATTTTATAGTGAATAATTATAATATTAATTACTTATATTTAAAGGATTTGTTGAAATATTTATAAGAATATTTAAAATCAATTCAAATATTCCAGTTAACTTATAAATAATATTATGATAATTTATATTTTTATAACATAACATTATCAGAAGGTTTGTCAAATTGGATATATAATTTAAAAAAGATTTCTGAATATGAACAAGAAAAAAAGAGATAAGAAAGGATAAAAAATCAATAGTTAAATCAAAAAGATAAAAAATTACCAAATATAAGAAATTATTAATATATTTAGAAAGTAAAGAACAAATTGATGAAAGTGTATTAATAAGTAAAATTTAAGAGGCAGTTAAGAAGTTAGAAAAACATTTAATAAGATAAAATTAATTGAAACTAGTTTTAAAAGAGTCAAGCCGAAATTCTTAAAGAAAAAAAAAACAAGTGAAAGAGGAGAAAGTGAAGAAAAAAAAAGAGAAAAGTGATAAATAATTTAGTCAATTGATTTTATAATTTTTTGTAATTTTTTATTAAATTTCATCAAATTTATTAACTTTCTAATATTTATGGAATTTTAATACAGATTTGTAACTTTTGCCAAATTTTTTGTTACAGTATATAATTTTTTTATCAAATTTTTTACCATAGTATCAATTTTCTTATTGAATTTTTTGTTATAGTATCAATTTTTTTGCCAATTTTTTTGTCACTGTATTAATAATTTTTTTGCAGAATTTTTTGCTATAGTATATAAAAAAAATTTTTTTTTATAATAGTATATGGATTTTTTTTTGTTACAATATTATCAAATTTTGTCTTGAATTTTTTTTTTTTTGCTAATTTTTATTGATATTTTTAATATTAAGTTACAATAATAAAAAATGATTTATCAATGTTTTTCTTATTGTATTTTATCAAATTTGATAATTCAATTATTGAATAATATAATTTCACAAGTGAAACTTATATATAAATTTCTTTGAATTGAAGTTATATTTATAAATTATGAATAATATTATAATATAATATATAATATGTAATTTATATTATTATAATTTAATTAATTAAGCATGTTATATAAATATTAACAAATAATTTATAAATATAAATAATTTTTTTCACAAGTTTGATAAATTTTTGTTAAATAATAGATAAATAGTTAATAAACTATTAATAAATTAATATCTAATTTTTATTAAATTGCTAATAAATAATTTTTTAAATAGTTAATGAATTATTTAATGAATTGTTAATGAATTTTTTTACAATTTATTATTAAACTTTTAATTGATGAACTTTTGATTGTCAAATTTTTTGATTATCTAATTTTTGGATTATAACTTCAGTGTCAAAATAGTAATATGTCAAGTAACAACAATTGAAAAAAATTTGTCAATATTTTTATTATTAAATTTAATTAAATTTGTTTATAATCCAACTGTCAAATGATATAATTTCGACTAGTAATAGCAAATCAGATATTACTTTAATAAAAAATGAAGAAAAATTTTGATTTTAAAATAACAATGAATCAAATTAAATTTTTTATATGCAGTATAATGCTTTGATTTTTTGTTTAGTAATAGTTTCAATTTTTTAAAGAAATCAATTGATCAATCTATAAATTGAGCCGGTTCAGCATTTCAAGCAATACATTTGAATGAATTTTATAAATTTTTCATAAATTTCAAAGATTGAAATAATATTTTTTGTATTCTTAATTTATCATCATACAAGAATCAACAACAATATTTACAGTAATTTAATTTATTCTATGTTTCATCATTTCAAATCAAAAATCAGCATATTTCATATTTTATAATTACTTGTACTCGCGTCATTTTTTGTTTATGCTTTATTTCGATTGTGCTTTACAACTCATTCTTACAATTATTATAGAAACTCATTGGTTATTCTATTTACTTGGAGAATATGGTGTATACAGGATCCGCTTTTCTCAATAATAATAATAATAACAATAATAAATTAAAATTAAAATTAAAAAAATGAAATAATACTTATCTTTCGTGACTTTTCCAAATCCAGAAATCAAAGCATCAAATTTGTGATTAATAAGAAACGAGAAAATAATTTCAAGCAAGCAAGCAACTCAATTACGCTATATAATTTCAAGCAAGCAACACAGTCACACCATTTTAATTAATGAAGAGCACGTGCGCTTTATTGCATCAAGGCCGTCGAAACACCCCCCAATATTAATTTCATTGAAAATGACAAAAACATATCAGCTACACAAAACTTCCGAGAGAAATGTGCCGTGTATACTTGCAGTATTCGAAATCAGGTGTTGGGCATATCAAATCCAATGTATGTGATGGTTAAAATGCTAATGCTAGCACAGGGTATAAACAAAGCACACAAAAACAAGTCGGAAAACAATGACTTTTCTTTTCGCTCCTGGTTTCTTGGCGTGAAATCATCCAATTCTAGATTATTGGCGTAAAATCATCCAATTTGGGAGCTGACCTTCTTTCTTCATTCATTCCGCCCCCCGTGTATTCACCGTATTACACCAGAATATTATCTCGGTCGTTCATTCGTTTAATGGATGCTCACAAATGCAAGTCAGTGTAACTTTGAATTCTTTTGCGAGAATAAGCATCATTCGGCAGTGGTCTAACCAATAATAATAATAATAATAATAAGATAAAAAATTCTTTGAGTAGGCATTGGTTGAACGCCCAATTACAAACTGTTGATTGGGTTTTCATCAAAAAGACATTTGTGGTGTGGTGTATATTATTGACACACGGACGATGGTTTCAGAAATCCCAGTCACGCGAATCTTTCACAAGCCACTCGTCACAGAAAATCATGTTCTGGCGAAAGAGCATCCAAGGAAAAAACCGTTAACCCAGTTAAGCATGTGTCGAACGAAATTCTATATCGATATTAAAATTGCGTGCTTGGCAAACATCCCTATTAAGCAATGATGAAATGGTCTTTGGAACGATTCTGTTTGTTTTTTTCCCCTTATGTTATCTCATTTTCTTATTGAAGATCGACGCATCCAGGAAATTGCGATCATATAGATCGCTGTGCATGATGATTGGAAATTTGGTAAAAACAAAACGAAATTCCATACTGTCGCAATTTCGGCTTTTCGGACTTTTCTTCGCGCCGTGGGTTTTCATTCAATGCTTCACGATCTTTGCCATCACATTATGTACGGTACGTGTACACTCCATTTTCGCATCATTTGCCAAGCCACGACCGCGCACAGATCCCACCTACCGCTACATTTTTAGAAAGGCAAGGCGAAGTAAGTTTCCCGGGCTTAAAGAGGGAATTTTCTTGTTTCTCATTAAAATCTAGAAAAAATTATCGATGAGTGAGATGATCTTTGACAAACATATTCTTTTTTTAACAAGAATTACCAAAATATTGGATCATTGTTTTCCTATTTTTTTCAAAAAGGTATTTTCACAAGGGAATTGGAGTTGTCCTAAACAAGATGACAATGCGCGAATTGCCTCTTTAACGTAACGTCATTTGTCATATACATATGTGAAGAGGAGATTTACGAACTCTCTTTTTTACGTTTATTTATTTATTCATGTGTGTGTACGTGTATATATAGATAGATATATATATATATTCGTCGACAAAAAAATTTGTTTCTCGAATCCAAAGAATAAAGAGGAAGTGTGCTCCTTTTTTTTTTTTTTTTTTTTTTTTTCAGCTTCCTTGGATAAAAATACATGTGAACATCCTAACCTGATCTACTCGAAGCGAACAACCTACCAAGAAAAACCAAGAAAGAAAATCTTGTTCAACAAGAAATGACATGTGGGGAAGAAAATAGCGCGTGCAAAACCAAAAAAAGAAAAGGGGAGTCAAAATTTACGACCTTTCTGGTCAGTGTAAGATTTTCCGAGTCCAAAGAGATGGATTTTTAAAAGGTAATAACAGGAGAAGTCGAAAATGTTTGTACGTGGAAAGGGGAAGAAAATTGTTTATTAACAGCCAATCGATGATATTTTTTTGGTAATAATTCAATTTTATATATATCATCAAAAGGAAAGGGAAAAGAAAAAGAAAGGAAAAGAAAAAAAAAAAAAAAAAAGAGAGAGAGAGAGAGAGAAAATGTTACATGGCGAAATATATATATTTTTTGATGGTGTTTAATTGTCATTAAAATCTGCACCACTAAAAAATATTAAAAAGAATATTAACAAACCGACCGATCCCATATCAAATAGGAAAAACGAGGTCGACAAAAATGAATCCAACCGACAAAACGCTACAACCTGTACAATATTATATAGGCGACGACGGAAAGTCGAGTAATTTTACTTCTTTTCGGGAGATTGATTTTGATACTGGGACACCTTGTTTCCATTTGAGGTAGCGTTCGAGGGTGGCCAATATCCGGTGGGCTGCATATAGCTGTTTTGTGCGTACTGATTCAAGTGCGACTGGTTGTATTGATATCCCGACATGTAAGACGGGGGAATACCGCTGGTTCCCAGGGCCATACTACTAGGAATTGTGCCGTATTGATTGTAAGGAGCTGTTAGGCCAATATACTGGTTCTGAGGGATTGGACCTCCTGAAGTTTGCGGCTTTTTTTTTTTTTTTTTTGGTTTGTTTTAAAAAGAAAAAAATGAAATGAACATGGTGGTGAGCATTAGAGTTTAGGATTAATGGTGAGCAAAGAAGAATAAAATGTTGGTTGTGTGTACCTTTCGATCATTATCATAGACATCGTTGTTACTACTATCTACGGGGGCGGGGTTGTCATTTCCGTAGACGGAGGCATTTTGAGATGTGCGTGTCTGTGGGTTAAAGTAAAATGCGTATGGTGGAAAGGGAATGGATAAACAATTGAGATTTTTAATTGTCATATCACTACAAGCGAGGCCCAGTTGGCTTTATTTAATAAATCGTTTTTACATGAATCACAATGGCTTAAGCAAAGACGAATTTACAAAGATGATTGCTTAGTGCGAACAGCATTAGGAGAAATTTGTTTCATATATACCGTGGTAGGTGACTCCTGACCGGTGGGAGTGTCAGGAGCATTCAAGCAGGCCTGAATCAAATTCTTCCCTTCGGGTTTGGTTACGAGTGGTTGGAGTTTGGGAGTCGTGAACGTGTACACGAGACCTGTCTCCGATACGACCAGAAGTAAGACTTGGGTGCCCGTTAGGGTGCTGAGTTCATATGCCTGCATTGTTTATTGTCGGGTGTTGGTGGGTAGATAGAATAAGGATAAATTAATGTAAATTGTTTGCATGCCACTTTGGGCTCCTTGGAACCAAAAGGGGGAAACTCAATCCAAATCGAGAAGACAAATATGGTAGGAGAGGAATAACAATATGCAAGCTTACTCAAATCATGTATTTGTGTATAACCTTTAATGGTTATGGGATAAGCAAAGCATGATATGCCGGTAAACAATTAAGAAAAAAAAATTTTTTTATTTTTTTTACCTTCTTCATTATACCAGCCTTTCGTTTACTGAAGGTGATGTGACGTCTGCTCTTATCATCGATGTATTCAATTTTTATCTTACGACGGCCTGCGCGCTTCTCATTCTTACTTCCTGTGTCATCTTCGCCAGATTCTATTTCATCTTCATCTTCAAGGTCTCGTTTGGTTCCTCTGGGGGTTGACTGCTCCGACAAGTCAACGCTGTGGCCAGAAGCGTTACTTTGCTTTCGTTGGTTGTTTGGACTTGCTAGACCGCTCATGTCTGTGGCGTGTATTCAAATGTGGTAAGTGAATAGTTCTTTTTTAGATGTTCACTGCCTCTTTTTTATTTTTATTTTTTTTTTGGGACAGTTGCTAAATGGGTAGTTGGGTGAAACTGTAGTAACCTTTTACGTAGTCTGTATGCGTAAAAGTAGGTGAGAAAAAAAGGAAATGAGATGATGAATGAGAAAATACGTATATCCCTTATATAATAAGAAGTTCATGTGAACAGGGCATGTTGTACCCCTATGCACAGGTGACACAAGGAATGCACATAAAACGGGTAAGAAAAAAGAAAATGAGTGAGCTGCGCCACATAAAATGATCGCTGTTCAGGAGAAAGAGGAAAAAAAGAAAAATAAAATAAAATAAAAAAGAAAACCGAGAGAAATGAAAATGGGAAAGGTTGACATCATGTCAAAATTGAGTTTTGCAAATCAGAATGCACGAAGGTGAGAATGGAGGGAGACAAGAAGACGTTTTGGAAAGAGAGTGGCGACTGTATATGCGTGGGATTGGTTCGGCGCGACATGCATCACTCTAGTGTAATTAATAATAAACATGCGTAGGATTTGGTTCACACATACATATATACATACCTACATACACATACATATAAAGATATATATAGGCATATATAGATGCACATGTAGGCATGTATATACATATGAGAAAGGTTCGCGGCGGACAATGGCATGTGATTTGAAAAAGAAACTAATCATTCGGTGATTGCGAATTGGGATTGGAGCAGCCGAGAACAATTACGCTGCAATGGATTGGTTGCACGGTCGCGTCGAACGAGAAAGAAGGGGAGAAGGGGAGAAGATAAGAAGAAGAAGAAGAAGAAGAAACGAAATCGTCCATCGGTCCCAGAAAAAAAAAAAAAAAAGTTAGTTTGGGAATTGATACCTATTCGGAGGGTTCTCACGTTCTCGGATAACTTCTTTTTAAACGATCTTCACGAGTCACAAGCTTTAACTGTAAAGAATACACGGGGTTAAAATAAGAAAATTTTTAAGAAAAGAAGAAATTTAGTGGAGGAAAAGAAAAATGAGATATTTTTTATTGTTTTTGATGAAGTGACAAACAGTTGCTTGAACAAAAAAGGGGCAAAAGGGCAACAATTTGGACGTAAAAGGATTCCGGGTTTTTTTTATAACATCTACAACCCATCATGTTAATAGTTCTTTGTATTGTATTAGATGCTACAAAGAACTGTGTCCTACGTGGTACATATATTGGTCCCCAATTCTAATCAAAAGTCTATCATCGATTTAACTCAATCAAATTTCATTACACTACACTAATACGCATATTTTTAATACTTTATATAGTAGCAGAAATGAAAAATTTTATTCATTGCTCAGTTATCAGTTATCAAGTCAATCGTAATATGAAGTGCCGGAAACTTCGGGGAACTGTTTGGCAAAAATGTTCCCTTTGGAAAAAACAATACAAAATGATCTTGTGCTGGTTTTTTGGGGGGGCAGTATAAAAAAAGTGTATCGTTACTTTATGCGACCGATTAAGTAGATGAGACAATAAAAAGGTCCGATGCTAACAAGCAAGAAGGCTGAAGAATCAACTAACATACGTCGTACGTAAGCAGAAAAACCGTCATCGCAATATATTTGTCCACTGTATATCGTGGTTATGCAAAAATCAAGTCGCAAACTTGATTCTCTTTCAAAATTCCACAATGGGATTTTTATGACAATTTTCCAGTAATTTTCCAGTTTTTCGTGTATTTAGACAAATTTGTATAGCGGTTTCTATAATGGAAGTTGCAAATGGACTGCAGGATTGCACGTAAGAGAAATATTTTGGCTAAAATACAAATGGCAAAAATTACCCACGGTCCCCGGCCCGATTCATTAGAAATTCTAATCGACCAATTGGCTCATCTCATGTTAGCGTACGTGCATACGTGCGTAAACATTTGGTACCATCGTAACGCACAGTATTACGTGCTCAATAACGAAATGTGTTTCATCAGGATTTGCCGAGCAAAAACATCCACCTATCTCACGTGATCGGAGGTAACACGAACACGATATTACAGGTTTTCGGCGTTCGGAGTAACTGCAGCGGTAAAAAAAAAAAAAAAAAAAAAATGAAAAAAAAAAAAATAATAATAATGATGATAATGATAATAATAAAAATAAATTAAATTAAAATAAAAAAATTTATATCTTACTCTCATTATTATCATAGTCACATATTTCTGACAATCAGTAAATCAGAAAAATCCACCAATTTTAATTTCACGATGGTGATGCATAACAACCAACAATATAAGGACAAATCCCATTTTTATGTTGAATTTGCATACGAGAACCTATTGTACCTACCGAGAAATTCCGGCCAGAATCTATGTTGGCGAATGGGCGAGAAGCTTTTTTTCATTCGAGTTTTTGTTTGGTGCGTGTGATACACACTCTATTCTGGCTGAGAAATCTTTCAAGAAATTTTTCCGCCGGTTGCGTCGTACGTATGATGATTTCATGATCATAAAAGTTTCCTGAGGGAATCAATTTTGGAAACAAAGAACGTCAGTTCGATTTTCACCTACACGAATTAGTGAGAGCTCCTGCTTGAGTGATTTGGGCACTCTATTGATCATTGAAATTCATTTTTCAACAAATTTAACCTACTTTGAACCATAATAGGCTTTTTTCTTTCTTTTTCTTCTTCTTTTCTTTTTTTCTTCTTAGCCATATGAAACGCTGATGCCAAGATAGCCGTCCAATTCAGGTTACAAACAGGTGTTATTGTCATGTGATCTGCGCAATACAGGTTGGCAACATCGTACAAGAAAATTATGTGCAGAATCCGCCCCCCGAAATGAGTGCGTACGAACGTACTTACGTGTGTGAAATTACTATTGTTGTCGTTGTTGCCGTTTTTCCAGAAAAAAAGAAAAGGTGGGTATTCAATTAACATAAATTAAACAGAAAGAAGGCTAAACTCCGAGGAACAAATGCTTAAAATGTACGAAAAACAGAAATCCTCAGAAACCGGATAAGTGTAAGAAATGAAAATCATTTATAAATTTGCAAAAAAATTGTCCAAAGGAGAACGAATCACTCGTCCCATTATAATCTTCCCAAGGAAATAATTTTCGCTTAAAACATGAATCGCAAAAAACAAAAAAAGTGACTTATTACGTAAGCCGATAGTCCCGCCGAAATAATTAGACTTTCTACACGATGCTTATCGTATATCGCTGCATAAATCGATACTTTAGCCGTCCAAATGGTTCATAGACTCGAAAATTACAATACCCATTATTTGCGTATTTGGTATTGGAAAAAAAAAATCATTGTTATGAAATTTGCTAATCATCTGCAGTCGCGGCGACGCATCCGATTAAAACTAAATATCGAAAATATTTTCTAGCGATAAAGCAATATTGCAAAATTTACATGCACTATAATTTATTGACTATCAGATAATTTTTATTTGGCTTTTTTCTATCATAATTCAATTATTGTCAATGATAATTTTGAATGATAGAATTAATTGATTACAGTATATTTAGAACCATAATATTTTGATATAAAAACTATTTCTAATCATACACAAAAAAAGATGTTCGTATAAAAGTCTTTTGACCTTTGACTAATAAACTCTTTCAAGAGTTGATACTATTTTTCTTTTTTCGTTTACATTTTTTTTTTTTAATCAAAAGCTTGATCTTTAATAGCTAAAAAAATATCGAATATTTTTTTATTATCAATAACAAGAAAGATTTTAAGAAAAACAAATCAATTGTTAAGTATCTAAAGGTTTTTTTTTATCTATTAAATGAACAGTTCTAAAAGTCTATTATAAATAAAGAAACTTGATTTTTTTTCTCTTCAAATATTTATAATTTTTAGAATTATTACTTTTATATATGTATTTAGAACTATTACTTTTATGGTTTTCTAAAGAACTTTATCTGCTTTAATTTAATTTTGAATTTTTAGATTGCTTAAATTTTACAATAAATTTAATGCAAATAAATTTTTTCAAAAAAATTATAAACGTCATAATTTATAAATTCTTATAATATATTATTTAAATTATTAAATTAATTTTTAATATTTTAATCTTGATTTGTAAAAAATTTTTATTATTTATATATTTCAAATAGTTATAATAAAACATCTTTCTTATTAATTGATCAATTGTTACATAGTATAAAATCTAAAATATCAATAATAATTAATTAATGAATATTTTAATGTACAATATATATTCTTATTCTATATTATAAAAAATATAATCTAATTATTTTAAAAAATCATTAACAATTATTTAGATGAAAAAATATTTATAATAAAAACTTTTTCTACTGATTCTTTAACCATACACAAAAAAAATATTCTCAAAAAGTTTTATATTTTTATATTAATAAAATCTTATTATAACAAGTGAATTTTTAGACTAGTGGAACTGATTTCTATAACTAATCAAAATATTTTAAGTTTTTGT